AATAGTTCAGTTTAGGCATCTGCATGTGAAGTTTTCACCTTTCATCCGAGAGGCTTCCTCAGTTCTAACTGATGATGGGGAGCGCTGAGAATAATATGCTTCGGGTTTGACAAAAATGTGCTGAAGAAAAACAAAAGGTGGCTGTGATGCCTCCCACTGGATTGGCCATGGAGGTCACCTGGGGGGTGTTTATGGCTGTTAGGGGGTTCTAATGGGTCATTAACTCCCTCTTCAGACTGATTTTCATCACATGCCTCAGTGAATTGTGAGTCAAGTGAGGACAGGTGAGAGGTGAATCTTCTGGGCGTTATTCTTAAAATTGCTTTGTAAGTAGGTGGCAGGTTATGTCTAAGACCACCTCCTCTGTTGAGTGTTGGGTTTTTTTTCAGGTTATAAAAGATGGGTTCCTTAACCCCTCTGTCTATCTGTCTGTCTTTCTTGATCCAGTTCGTTCAGTTTTCTCCAGCCCAAGGTAGGCAAGGCAAGGCAAAGCAATGCAAGGAAAAGAAAGGAAACTAAAGGTAAGGAAAGGAAAGGTTATCCATGCAGGTCATTTCAATAACATAAACGTTCAAAGTGCTAGACGTGAATAGAACATAAGAAAACTGAACAACTTTTAATTGCAGTGGCATAAAGCCAGAATTACTACCGTATACATGTTATGGTCAAAAATAACATACAAGAATCAGTCATACAAAAAACAAGTGCTAGGCAAGGGATTGCTTGTTCCTACGAATGCATTCTATTTTGACTGCTTGTGTAATTAAGTTTCACGGTTCCTTGCATAAATATTTTCAACAATAGACATCCCAATGATGTTAAAAGCAACAAGCAACAGCAAATAATTGGGTTTAAAGACATGATGTGAAGGAACTTAGGGTTTCCACACATTCACAGTCCTCCAAACAAACATATGGAAAGGTTTCTAAACCTTTACAGTCTTCTGAGAGTTTTCTTACCTATAACAGGTCTGTAATGTATTTTGTAGCTAAGCCATTTAACGATTTATAGACTAAATTTAGTATTTAAAAGTCTATTCTCTGAAATGGAGTCATCGTAACAATTTTAGAACTGGGTGATGTGTCCTACCTTTCTTAGTTTTAGTGAAGACACAGGCAGCAGCTTTCAGAATCAACTGAAGCTGATCAATTCTTCAGGCAGAATTGTGAAGTGAAGTGTGAGATATGTCTGTAGTTCTGCATTTTGTTTTATTCCACTCAAGTTATTCTGATTCAATCCTTATAATTTTATCTTAAAGTAATCCAGTTAAATTCAGTTTATATTTGCCCAGTCCAGCTCAACCCAGGTCTCTTCAGCCAAACCTAATGCAGCTTAGTTCCATTCTTTCAGTAAAAATAGCTGTTTTATTCAACAAAATTTAAGCAAATTAAATCTGTTCAGTTTCATAAAGACTTTTTAACCAAGTTAAATTGAAATAAAACAGGTCTAGTACAGCATAGTTCAGCTCAATTCAGTTTAATTTAATTTAACTCAGCTTTTTCCATTTCATTTTAGTTTTGTTTAAACAAGTCAATTGCAGTTTAGTTCTGTTGAATGTATCCAGTTTAGTCCAGTCCAGTTTAGATAATATTACCGGTAGTTAACTGGATTTCAGGCCATTTCAGATTTTTAGAGTCCAATTCGTTCAGTTTAAATTTTTTTCAATTTTTGGGTTTGTCCATCTTATTCTGTTTTGCTCATGTTATGTCTGTTTATTCCATTTTAATGAAGCCCAGTCTTTTTCCTTCAGTTCATTCAGTTAAGTCCAGTTCACTTTATACAAGTCAGTCAAATTGAGTTCAGCTCAATTTTCCAAATTTCAGTTTCATGGAGTTCTGCTTAGGCCAGTTGTGTCCATTTGAATCTAGATCAATTACATAGTTCATTCCATCCACTTCTTTCCAATTCCGTGTGGCCCATCCTCTCCGGTCGAGTTCAGTTTGAGCTAATTTAATCTCAGTTCTGTTTAATCCTGTTGAGTAAATTTAGTTTCACCAAGCTTTGGCTAGTAATCAATTACAGTTTACTGGTTGGACAACTTTTGCTAACTGATTTTTGCTAACTAGAAATTATAATGGACCCAAAGCTATTTACTATCAATCCAGATGGAAACCTTGAACATAAAACAAAAAAAAAGGCTTTTTAAAGCAGTATGAGGTCCTGGTGGAAGCTTCATTATATTTGTATCAATCAGGTAAAGTTTCTACATTTAAGATGCAGAATATAATTTAACCAAATAGTCATTAAGAACATACAGAGACACTCAGGTATACTCTGAAAAGATATTTTTTTGTAGTTTTTAAACCCTTGCTACATATAGAGCTGCTGTCAGTGCTCAGCCCATAGGAAGCTGAGGGTCCTTATCAACATGCATGTGTTTCCACAGAATTGCATTTGCTCTTTCACTGTGACAACACAACATTCCAACTATTCCTGAATATAGAAATTACTTTTTCCTGTCAAAAAGTAGGAAACAGAAAGCTACGGCCTTAAATATGGTCCTCATTTGGTCCTCATCTTACTGTTTTCAAGGCTGCACTTTAAACAATGAAATTGTCTAGAGCTTTTTTAAACAAAATTTATTTTTGTATACACACATGTATAAAAAAATGACAAAATAAATCTAAGTCTAAGTTATTCATATCATGCAGGAGTTACCTCCTCAGTAGGTTGTAGTAGCAGAATTAGAGGGGGAATCCACAAAGTTAAAACAAATTATACTAATGTCAGCTACCTGCACAACACTTAATGTAATTGACCTGTTTTTGTCTGAGTTCCCTGTAGCCTCCCAATACACACAGTCAAGGACAGATGTTGAGCTGACTATGAACATGAAGGGAGCACTTACACCATGATTAGTGTAATACCCCTTTAAACCCCCACTCTGACCCATAAACACCCCTAATACAACTATAAACCCCACCCCCCACCTCACCCCAGCTCAGATTAAGGTAAAACCAGACAGTCACATGATTTCAGAAATGTCACATGACGTCCTTCAGGTGTTCCTAACCTGGCACTGAATCCATCCTATCACTGCAAACCTTTAAGTATGGAGGACCAATCCTGCCATAATTAAAAATAAATACAGAAATAAACAAATGCTCCAAAAATAAATAAGCATACAATAATTGCCCCCCCAAAATACAATAAACAAATAAATGTAGGTAGAAATTAAATTATACAGTGAGACATTTATTGTCTGTTATATTCTTCAACTTTATTTATTTATTACTTATTTCTTTAAGTATTTATTTATGTGCATGTTTTAATAATTTTGTCTGGTTTATTCTTCCTTTGTATTTTTTTTTACCCTATTTATTTCTTCAACGCTATTTATTTCTGCCTGTGGTTTTTACATTTCTGTATGCATTTCTGCCTCATTATGCAAATGAGAAGGGGTGTGTCTTAGAGGGTCAAGTCCTCCATACTTAAGATTAGATTAGATTCAACTTTGTTTTCATTGCACAGGTAAAGGTACAAGGCAACAAAATGCAGTTAAGTTCTAACCAGAAGTGCAATAGCAGCAAGTGCAGGATAAATAATGGTTCTATAAATACAGGACATGGGTTCTACTGAATAAGTATAAATACCATTATAAACAGGCCCTGCTCAACACCCCTAAAGGGCAGTGCTTTTTAACAGCTGTACACACTGTTAACATTTCTTTAATTTAATTCTGCTAAATCTCACATCTCACACTACATACATAAAAAAAATATATATATATATATATTTTTATACAGCCTAAAAAATATATTAGAGCACTCTCATGTTATTGTTATTTTTTCTTTTAGGTAATATAAATTTCTACCAAGAAATTTAAAAGAAATAATATGATTTAATTTTTTTTTTCTATTGGTGTTTTATGTTTCTGTTGTTTTTTGGCTTTAAATTAAATAATGATAATTAATATGCTGGCTTTGAATGAAATATTTTTTTTATTTGATCATTCAAATTTTATTAACTTAAATAAACCTTTTATATTTTGAGGTCTTATTGATGTTAAAATGTATCTTCTTCATTCATTTTCAGCGAGTAGCTGAGAAGAGAAACCACACAGCCCTATTCCCCAGGTGAGACACTTCACCTGTTCAGGTAACATCCTGTGAGCCAATAAGCTCCAGCCCTCGTTTAGAGAGAACAGAGCAGTGGGGAGCGTGGACAGGCTGATTAATTATCCCCCCTCGTGAAGATAGGTGGCGCGTGGGGCCACGAGTTATCGCTGCTGTGCATGAAGCAGAAAGACGCGGTGTCAAGCGGCGGAAGGCGACAAGCAGAGATGGCCAACCTGCACTCCGGACAGAACCCGTTATGAGAGTCGCTCCGGCTCAGGAACCGCCTGGACCCATCCGGACCCACCGAGGCTCAGCTGGACTTTTTACTCCCGCAGGAGAAAACGGCGAACCTCTCCTGTAAGAATCCTCTGATCCTATTCAGTCTCTCTGCTCCTCTGCTCACGGTTCACTCCGTGCAGCCAATCAGAGCGCAGCAGTTACCTGCAAAGCTCTACCTGCGCGACAGGTGAGAGGAAAGCATCCAGGTGGGGCCAATGGATGGATGGATGGATGGATGGATGGATGGATGGATGGATGGATGGATGGATAGGAGGATGAGTGTACAGATGAATGGATTAGCAGAGTGGTGTTTGGCAGAGTGCGCTGCAGCTCATTTTGCTGGATTTAAATCAGCAGATTCAGAGCGAGGGAATCCTGCGGCGCATGGATGGATGGATGGATGGATGGATGGATGGATGGATGGATGGATGGATGGATGGATGGATGGATGGATAAATGCATGCGTGGATGGATGGGGTGGAAACAACGTTTTATTAAAGAGCGCAGCTGATTTCAGGCCTTATTGTTGATCTTATATAATAAGAAAATATCCAAAGCTGACATCGATATATTGTTGATGGGTGATTGGCGAGGCCTGGCAGATCAACAAGTTAGTTGTTGGGTGTTGTTCAGTAAGGAGGTGGAGCAGTTGAGTGTGTGTCTGTGTGCGGAGTTTGTACCAGTGTGTATGAATGTGTCCCCTCCTCCTGTCAGACCAGCGGAGACGCTCCTCATCAGAGATCAGGCTGACGGGGACGCGGCTCGGTGCGCGCTCTCCAGCCCAAAGTGTTGACAAAGTGCACAGAGTGTGCGGGGAGCCACTGTGGGAGTGGATCGGGAGTTCTGGGAGTGGATAAGGAGTTGTGGGATCCGGAGCCGGTCTGGGACTGACGGTGTGTGTCTGTGCCGTTGTTCAGGCAGCAGGAGGACGGAGATGATGGCCCAGAGTCCCCGATGGAAGAGGCGCAAACAGCTCAACCCCCGCAGAAAGAGCGGTAAGAACAGCACTGCACACTGCCCAGAACTCTGCTCAAAGTGTCGCGGACTGAAAAAAGTTTGGAGCGGGACCCGGAGCTCCGCGTGCGGGTCACCGCGTGTCCGGGAAACTGCTCTGTCTCTGTTTGATTCTCTGAGGAGTTCCCGTTTTTTTTTTTCTTTTATCAGTTGCAAAAACAATTAAACAAACAAACAAATAACAAATATATATTTATTTTCAAGGGTGTTTACAGCAGGACTTATTAATGATTTATAAGTATTTTATTAAGGCGGCCAGCACAGAATAGAAGATTTAAAACTGAACATGGTTTTGTTTAACAAACAGATCATCAGTGAATGAACTAGAACAAAGCCAAGTATTTTATTCAGATGGGGATAAAGGCAATTTATTCTAAAAAAAATAACAAAAAAGTAGAAAGTGACCGAAATAAAAAGGAAAAACGATTAATGTAATAGAGGCGCAGAGCAATAAAAACAAAAACAAAATCATTCTCGCACAGAAATGAATGCACAGCATTTAATATGTTATAAGTTATCATAGAATTTAAAATCGATTAAAGTTTTATTTTTAGACATTTAAAAGGGACTTTGGGCTTCTTATATGATAAAAAATACTATTTGTTGTTTCCGAGTTTTATTTTTTTTTATTATTATTAAAAATGATTCTTTGGAATTAAATTAACTTATATTTATTTTATATTTCGGAATGGTTTTTAGCCTCGTTCTAAGTTCTGCGCGGCTCTGTGGCTCTACGGTCACTGCGGCCTCCTCCACCTCTGGAGGTCTCATCCAGCTGTTAAGATACAGCTGTTGACTAAACTCTGTGTTTTCTGCCTGGCTTCTCTCTCTGTTTTAGTGCGTGTTACTTGCGGTTCAGGTTGTAAAAATAACTTCTCTGTTATTTTCATGACTGGAATTAACTTTCTTACAGCTAGATTCCTCATTCCATCATTTTGAATTTAGATTCTTTTAGATACATTTTCTCATGCAGCATGTGAGAAACGGAAATTATAGAGAAATGTGAAATATACAAATAGTTACAACCAATAACCTAAAACAAAAATCAATTCAGCTTTATTAAAATAGATTTTCATAACCAAGTAAAACAGTCTGAAGCTGGTTTATTTAGTGTGTTTTTAAATGAAAGTTTCTGCTGTAGCAGCTTATAGATTTTGAATGTTGGTGCAGCATGCACATTGTGTACCGTTATAACCGGATGTAGGATAAAACAAGAGATGTACAGTTCAGCTTGGTGGTTCACTAGGAGTGGACTGTACTCTGCATCAGGGCCCTTTCCTCTGACAGAATCCTTCAGAATGAAATCTGGATTCTGTCTGTTCAGATTTGCTGATCAGCCACATCATGGGTCTCTTTCAACTCATAATAATAAATTATTATGTAATTAATCCAGATTGAAGTGTTACTTTTTGATGTTTGCCTATTTTCCTTTACAGCCTGTCTGTTAATGTGACAATCAACCTCAACCTCTCCAATTTCACTTTCATTGAAATAGGAGCTACATGCACACCTGACAGGAGCTATGAGCACATTGAAGGGCCTTGCAGACAGAAGGCCTGTTGGTGTTGACAGGAGGCCATTGCAGAGCAACTGGCGCATTAACTTGAGCTCTATGCTGATACAACCTCTGCACTCGCAGGAACTTCATACACATTAAAGCACAATGACAGGAATGCATGTAAAAGGTGTCATTCCCCCCATATTAGATGTAGCTGAAAGGTGGGATCTTTACTCTGATCCAGTTAAAGGGAAAAGCTTTACGTTTGTAGTTCGGCCTGATGAAGTTTTCAGCTTGATGTTCGGCATTCAGTCTAAAGTTCGGTTCTGTTTCTTGGAGCATGAGAGCTCAGGTTCCCCCCGCTGCAGCTTGGTTAATGTCACTTCAGACTCGTCACCTAAATCAGAACTTCATACTGATGCGTTAATATAACATAACTGGGGCCTTTTTATGGTTCTCTGTTGAAGCAGTTTAAAAGCAGGTCGGATCTGCTGCTCTCTGACCTGAATGTCTTTCATATCTGCCCCCCCCTTACTCGGTAAATACCCCCCCTAGGGCAGAACAAAGAAAGCAGCTCCTCCGCTCCTCCTTAATCACCATTCAGATGCTGTGAGCGCCGCCGGGGACGCTCAGCTCACTGCCATCCCAGATGAAAGAAGCAGCAGAGAAGGAATTGAGCTGAGAGAGGAGGAGGTGAGAAAGGAGGACAGAGGAGGTTACTAGCAGGAGAAGGTGTATTTGTGGCCTTCATCCTCCTGAGATGCAGACGGTCCTACGAGAATCTAAGACCTTCCAGTTTTTTTTTATTTTGAATGACAGCATTTCCCAAATACGGGCTTTCTGTCACCGGCAAAAATGTTTTTAATAATAAAAAATATATATATATTTTTAAATATTTTTGAGCAGCACTAAACAATCTTTATACTGTGAATCTGGAGCTTCCATGTGGGACCTGTATGAGGGCCCTGGTGGCTCCTGGGGCCCCTGACTGCTCTGCTTCTCTACAGGTCAGGAATCAGGCCTAAAATGGTGCATGTGATATGAATTCTTAATTTTTCTGCCCCGCCTCCATGAAAGCCTTTATTGTGAGGAAAAGCAGATTATCTTTATTCACCTTCAACCCCCCCACACCCCCAGTACCTCCTGTCAGACTCCCCCTCGGCCCCCTCCTGCAGGATTTAGGCAGATTTACTTCAGCAGACACCTCTGGTTGGACAACAGAGGAGGAGCTGGGGCCCCCGCTTTTTGAAGAAGGACCCTTTGTTAACAACAGGAAGTCTGTTTAATGCCCCCCCCATCACAGTCGGCCAAATAAAGGCAGAGTGATGTCGTAGTCACATGACCAGTGTCAATCACATGATGAACCTTCATCTCCTGATCTGAACAGAATATGATGGGATGTTGTTTGTGAAGGTCAGAGGTCAGCATGGCTGCAACATCATCATGTGTCAGCTGTTAGTCTGAGGTTTAGGCTCCTAACCTTTGGCGGTCCTCTGATCTCCCACCTCTGACTGTGGATACCAGGTAAATGTAATGAAACAGTTTTTAATGATGTTTCAGTTGCAGAAACAAGAACAACCATTTGAAATTTTTTCCGGCTCCGCATAGTCAGTCTAATCCGAACTCCAATCTTAACTTTTCTGCCTGTTTCCCTGTAATGAAAGGTATTTCCCCATTCAGCACCACCCAGCCCAGATGACTCATCAGGCTGTGAGTTAGAGGGCAACTGGAAAACAGTAAATAAGATTTTTAATTTCTCTTGAAGAAGGAATTTTTGGTAATCCTGAGATTAAAATGCTCTGATTTCTTCTTGTTTTGACCAGACAGTCTGTAATCTTTAATGGTTCAGATTAGAGCAGATTGGAGCCAATGAAAAACTTAAAAAGTTTTGGCCTTGTTAAACACCCCCAGTTACATGAACACACTTTCACATGTGTCCCGCTGCTGTAAACTTCTTGAACATAACAGACGGCCCACCCCACCCACTCACTCCAAATAACTTGATTCCTCTGAAATCATGTCTTCTTCTCTTTTTGTGGAAAGCAACCTCTGAGTCACCAATGTTCCTACACCTCCCATCATGCCTGAGTATTAGATGTTCTAGTGTTTTCTGATGTTTGTCTTTTTTCAAGGTGACTGACACGTGCTGGCTTTCAGTGAACCATAGATATTATGTTCATCAGTGCGCTCGGAGCCGACTCGTGACATTTTATTGCCGTTAGCCTAAACAGGGTTCTTCAAGGTCAGAGCGGAGGTGCATAAGGGCAGAAAGATAAGACACACTGTAGCGCACTTACACTAAACCAGACACACCGTAACACATACTCAGGTCAGAGCTGAGGCACATCGGGGCAGAGAGATAAGACACTCAGAAAACCGTCATGGAATATCACTCACCCATAGTAGCGGGCAGTGAAGTCAGATTAAAACAGAAAGTTTAATAGACGAACCTGAAGAGGACATTTTTTTTCAATTAAAATCAAACTGTTCATTGCAGCATTTATTGTCTTCAATGTCTTCTCTCTTTCTTTTAACTGTCTTCCTTCTGCTGCTTGTCATATTTCTAGTTCACATTACCTGACTGAGGTCTAACTTATCTGGGATCGGTCTCCAGAGAAAACAACCTGTTCAGTACGTAGACCTAGCTCTAATAGGAGTGGTGCATTTGATTGGCCGAGCTCCTGCGGCAAGGTCACACACATGGAACAATCAATAACGGTTGGCTGGATTAAGGTGTCATGACATCTGCATGTCCAGACCAACACTGTACGCCTGGATAACTCCACCCACCCCCACTTTTTCATCGCCAGGCTCCACCCACCACTGCTGGGATGGTCCTGATCCACCTAAGAGCCACTCAGGTTTTTATAATGAAGATTAAGATCTTTAATGGAAACCATCATTCATTTTACAAGTTACTGGTCTGACCAGATATTGGTACCGGTACTGACGCAGCAAGGGTTATTTTATTGCTGGTGCTCGGATATTGGTTGACTGTTAATGAACTGGTAGTTTGCTTCCTGATACTGGCCAGATAAGGTTGATGCTCAACTTGGACTGGTACTGGCCCAATTCTAGGTTCTTACTGGCCTGGTACTTTTTAAATTCTGGAATTGTTATTGATATGTTAGGTGCTTTTTGTTTCTTTGAGACTGACTGGCTACTTATCAGGGTTTGAGTTCTTATTGTTCTTGCAGCGGTCTATTTCTGGATCTTAAACGCTAGTATTATTCTGGAATTGGTCTGGCTTCAAGTGTTTTAAATTTTCTATTAGTCCGGTTTAGGTATACAGTGTTGGTAACTGTTCTGGTCCTGGTTTCTTATTGATCTTACCTAACATAATCTTTTCCTATTTTATCCTGCTTTCTCATTTTTATAGATTTTATTGGCCTGGTACTGGTCTGGTTTGGAGATGCTGTTAAACTATCACTGGCCTGGTACAGGTTTAACAGTTCTAATGTATCTGTTACTGGTCCCTTTCTA